ATCCCAGCACTTTGGGAGGCCGAGGCGGTTCGAGACCAGCCTGGCTAACATGATGAAACCCCATTTCTACTAAAAATACAAAAGTCATCCAGGCATGGTGATGTGCGCCTGTAATCCCAGCTACTCGGGAGGCTGAGGGAGGAGAATTACTTCAACTTAGGAGGAGCAGGTGGCAGTGAGCTGAGATCATGCACTGCACACCAGCATTTTTTTTGAGACACATGATCTCAAAGAAAACAAATAAAAATGAAATCTTGTCAGAAGAGGTCTTCGACACACCACCTTTGGGTGAAGAAATGAATTCTATTATTTTTATAATCAGACAATGGTAGAATCATAAAATGATTGGACTGCTAGACATCTTAAAGACGCCCAGGACCCAGCACTTTGGGAGGCCAAGGCAGGTGGATCACGAGGTCAAGAGATCGAGACCATACTGGTCAACATGGTGAAACCCCGTCTCTACTGAAAATACAAAAATCAGCTGGGTGTGGTGGCGTGTGCCTGTAGTCCCAGCTACTCAGGAGGCTGAGGCAGGAGAATTGCTTGAACCCAGGAGGCAGAGGTTGCGGTGAGATGAGATCACGCCGTTACACTCCAGCCTGGGTAACAAGAATGAAACTCCATCTCAAGAACAAAAAAAAAAGACTCCCAGGAAAATCCTATTGCTTGATTGATAAGAAAACTAAAGCACCGAAAGTGAAGTGAGTTAGTCATGGTTGTAGAGCTACAAAATGGCAGAATGACTAGGATTCCCATCTGTTTGCTTCCACGTAAATGCCTCTAACCTTTGGCTCTTTTATCCACGCTATACTGGGGCAAGAAAAGTTTCTGTATTCCTCAAATCATTTATTCCTCCTCCCTGCATTGCACTAGATACGAAAGTGAATATGTGTTTGGACACTTCTGCCCAAGCATCCACACCCCGCCACTCACAGCTGCGGATGCAGGCTAGTAATCTCATGGGTGTTGGGACAACTGAGCCTCCAGAATGATGTCCAACGGCTGCCAAGCAGGGCCTCTTAAGCAATACAAAATGTCTGTCCCTTTCTTTACAAACTCTTTGGAGATAATGCCTTGTTGTTTTTTTGTTTGTTTGTCTTTTTTTTCTTTTTTTTTCAGATGGAGTTTTGCTCTGTCTCCCAGACTGGAGTGCAATGGTGCAATCTTGGCTCACTGCAACCTCTGCCTCCCGGGTTCAAGCAATTCTCCTGGTTCAGCCTCCCGAGTAGCAGGGATTACAAGTGTCTGCCACCACGGCTGACTAATTTTTGTATTTTTAGTAGAGATAGGATTTCACCACGTTGATCAGGCTGGTCTCAAACTCCTGACTTTAAGTGATCCACCTGCCTTGGCCTCTCAAAGTGCTGGGATTCTAGGTGTGAGTCACCATGCCTGGCCTAACAGCTCTTATAATTAATTCCTTGAAAATCATTACAGATCTTCACAGGGCACTAGTGGCAGCTACAGCTTCTGCTTTTCCCTTCATGTTAAAAGCAAACAGGATCAACTATTGACAAAATTAAGTGCTGGAAGTATAGATCCTTCAGAGAAATACTCAGCCGTATATTCCTGAAACCTTGTCCTGCCTCCTACTTGAGGAATGTACAGTCTTCTCTTCACCTCTTTTGTCCCTTGGTCTGATCAGGAAAACAACCCAAGCCTCCCAGTCTGGTTAATTAAAGGGACTTTCATATTTACATTTTAACTAACGTCTTTATTCATAGAATGAAATATTTGGCACTTATTCATGGGATGTCATGCACCAGGAAGCAAGTAATCGATTTCCTGTTAGGGTTGGTGGGAAAGACTTAAACGTTCAGTGTCTGTGTCCATTCTGCAGAAAACACTGCTGCTCCTGTGGTAAAGAGCCTTAAGATTCTGGAGACTATGAAATGCTCATTCATCCAACCAGCATGGATTGTGCTCACAGTATGCCAGGCTTGGTGCTAGGAATTGGTAGTCATGCATGTGGCAAAGTTTCACTCTCACGCAACCTACATTCTTATAAATGGGGTAGCCATAAAATAATCGCGTAAGTATAGAAATAAACAAGATACCCTGGAAGTTCTCTATGCTGACTTCCTCTAACCTCCAGTCAGCGTGTTCTGCAGAGGGCATGAAAAGCTCAGGCTATTCTTCTGTTTCCATCTATATACCTAACAAGAATTCAATTATTCTCAGAACTGTTATGCCAGATGTAATTACATAGTTCATATAAATATCATAGAAGCCAACAAAATATGAGTTGTTTCTGGAATGCTAAATTGAATGCTTTGTAAGGAGTTTAAAAATTACTTAAAAGTTATAGAATAGGCCAGGTGTGGTAGCTCACACCTGTAATCACAGCACTTTGGGAGGCCGAGGCAGGTGGACCACCTGAGGTCAGGAGTTTGAGACCAGCCTGGCCAACATGGTGAAACCCTGATTCTACTAAAAATACAAAAAAATTAAGCCAGGTGTGGTGGCAGGCCCCTGTAGTCCCAGCTACTCAGAAGGCTGAGGCAGGAGAATCACTTGAACCCAGTAGACGGAGGTTGCCAAGATTGCTCCACTGTGCTCCAGCCTGGGCAACAGAATGAGACTTTGTCTCAAAATAAATAAAATAAAAAGTTCTCATTCCAGTTAAAAGGAACTGAATTGCCACTTAAAGGGTATAATGTATGAATGCCAGTCAGCAGATTCATGCTAATAATAATGGCTTAAGCACTATATCGTTTATATTAAACATTGTTATAACAAAACAAAAGGATTAGGGTTTCTCTATATCCTATATATATATCTCTCTCTCTCTTTTTTTTCTTTTTTGAGACAGTGTCTCACTCTGTCACCAGGCTGAAGTGCAGTAGCATGATCTTGGCTCACTGCAGCCTCCACCTCCCAGGTTTAAGCGACTCTCCTTCCTCAGCCTCCCAAGCAGCTGGGACACAGGTGTGCCCCACCACGCCCAGATGCTTTTTGTTTCTTTAGTAGAGACAGGGTTTCACGACGTTGGCCAGGATGGTCTCGATCTCTTGACGTCATAATCCGCCAGCCTCAGCCTCCCAAAGTGCTGGGATTACAGGCATGAGTCACTGCGCCCGGCCAGTATATTAGGAGGCTCAAAGACAGAGGTGGCCGAACGTCTTGACTCTTGTAACTCCCTAGTCACCCTTTTCCTGACCTGACCACAAGATAAGCCTCCTCATTTTCCACACTCCAGACTTTCTTCCTTCCCCACAAGATAGAGATGTTGACTTCCCACACATTTCCTGTTCCTTAGTTTCCTGCTTTTCACATACATCATAACTGTAATGCTTCCGTTTCTGGAATATAACAAAGGTGTTAAGTTGGTTTCCTTTGTCTTCTCCCCATGTGTTTCTTTGCCATCTCTCTGCTTTCTTGTTTCTGCCCTGCTCGGCTGTGTGTCTTATGCATTCCAGTTATCCCACTCACCTTTCACGTGATTTAAAAAACTCGTTCAGCCCAGGACTTAGAGTGTGAGTGTGGTTAAATAGTGTTAGGTTCACGTAATGTCTAAAACTTTTATTAGGAAAAATGCGACCTTGCCAATTTGTCTGTGTCTGAAAGAAGTTTGCATTTAAAAATCTGGCAATTTGACAGAGGCAAACACTTAAGATTTGAAATATTTTCTTAAATGTAGACAGTTGATTCATCTGCAGCTACAAGGTGAGGGCAGGAAGTGAGGGTGACCAGAAGTACCTGAATAAACTCAGGAAAGTAACTCTAGATTGACGGTCCCAAATTTTAGGTATCAAAGGATCTCTTGGAGTATTTTCTGAAAAATGTAGGTTCCTTCGTCCACTGTCAGAAACTCTGATTCAGTGGGTCAAGAATGGAATAAGAAATACTAAACAATGACCCGATGCAGTGGCTCATGCCTGTAATCCCAGGCAAGAGCATCACTTGAGGTCAGGGGTTCAAGACCAGCCTGGCCAACATGATGAAATCCCGTCTCTACTAAAAATACAAAAATAATTAGCTGCGCATGGTGGCACGTGCCTGTAATCCCAGCTACTTGGGAGGCTGAGGCAGGAGAATTGCTTGAACCTGGGAGGTGGAGGCTGAGGTGGGTCGAGATCCCACCACTGCACTCCAGCCAGGATGATAAAGTGAGATTCTGTCAGAAAGAAGGAAAGAGAGACAGAGAGAGAGAGAGGGAAGGAGGGAGAGAAGGAGGGGGAGGGAGAGAGAGAAAGAGGGAGGGAGGGAGGGAAGGAAGGATGGAAGGAAACAAGGAAGGAAGAAGGGAAGGAAGGAAAGGAAATAAAAGAAAGGAAGGAAGGAAGAGAGAAGAAAGAAAGAAAAAGAAAGAAAGAAAGAAAGAAAGAAAGAAAGAAAGAAAGAAAGAAAGAAAGAAAGGAAAAGAAAAGAAAAGAAAAGATGTTGAACAAGATATACAGACAATATACAACTGAGCCAGTGTATGGCATCTGATAGTGGGGCGATCTGGAGCTGAGTCTTGAATCTGAAGGTAATCAACTCCCTGTGACTTCTTTTCCTAATCCACAAAATAAGAATAGTAACAGTGAGACACTGTGTTGGGGTTAATATTTTAGAAAACATCCACATGTTTCTTTCCTTTGTCTTTCGGAGAGTGTCAACTACTTCTGACCTGTCCAGTCTAACACAAGGTCCAGTCTAACACCCGAGAAGGAGATTAGAATTTGTGTCTGAAGGTTTACAAAGAGGAAGAAGTCAAATATTTAGATTCGGACATTCAAGATGGAGTTATGCAGCAGGACCACTGCTATGAAACAGTATTTCTATTTTCCTTTATCCACTCCCACCTGCCCTCTTCCTGCACCTCACAGTAGCATGAGAAAAACCAGATACGGAAGTTTCAGGTCATAACAATTCTCTTGCAATTTAGAAAACAGGCCATTAGGCTTAGGGCTCTGTGGTAGAATGAGGATATGTTAGGGAAAATAAAAGAAAATCCCACCCCTCTATGGCTCAGGACTTCATGAAAAGGAGAGCAAGAAAGAGAAGCGAGAATGGGGTGGAGATGTGTGCAGAGAAAGAATGCGTGGGTGAGGAGAGGGTCTTCTTTCAGTTTCCCTCCTTTCCAAACACCACCTTGAGACAAGTGTTGTCTTTGGGGTCTGTCTCAGGTTCAGAGGAATTTGTAGGAAGGGGAGGGGCAGAGAATGGGGCGAGGCTACACTACTGAGAAAAACAATTCGGAGCACTTTCATTTCTGCTGACATAAAAGAAACAGGAAGGCGGGCTTCAGTAACCGGCTGCCTGGCTGGCTTACAGCACTCAGACTCTGACAGGATCATGGCTATGATGGAGGGTCAGGGGGGACCCAGCCCGGGGCAGACCTGCGTGCTGATCCTGATCTTCACAGTGCTCCTGCAGTCCCTCTGTGTGGCCGTAACTTACCTGTACTTCACCAATGAGCTGAAGCAGGTCAGTGCAATGCAGTGTGTTCAGTCTCCGAGGTGCTTAGTGACTGTTAGCTACCTGCTTCTCCTTTGCATGTCAGCTTGCTCCTCTCTGAAGCTCCGACTGCTTTCTTTCCTCTGTTGGTAGACTCTAACTGCTAACTCGCATAACCACTGAGGACTTTGCCAAAGTGTAAGTTCCGGAAATTGTGTAAACTAAGTGCAGCCACAGAATTAGCTCCATGAGTTACTAGCAGATGGGGGCAACAAAACTCCCAAGGGCTTTTTTGTTTTCGAAAGTATTTGTATCTTATAATATTAGCCATTGCAACTGTTCATGAAAGCTTTCTGCTAAATGCTTTATAGTTCTTTTTTTTCTTTTCCAAACTTTTATTTGTGCACATTCGATTGAAAAGGATAACTTTACACGTTCTTTGGTGCCCATATTCAGCACACAAAAATGTGAAAGACTATTCACAAATAAAACTGAGGACAAATTAGCTCAGAATGGAAAAAATATCAATGATAACAATAAAACAATCTCGGGTAGTGCACACTGTGACAGCTCTGCTTATGCGGACATGCAAATGACTGCAAAAATAAATAGAATGTCCCTTTGTAAAGGCAGTAATGTCATGTCTTGTAAACTTCCTTCTTTATATTACAGCAACGTTTGGAATAAAGTCCAAAGGGACTGGGACTTACCCTGTAGCAGTGAATAAATAAAAGTATATTTCCTCATTACCAGTTTCCTTTTGAGTCCAATGTGCAGCAATCCCAGGTGCACAGTTAGAAATTCTAACCAATTAAGTGGTGAATTATAAAATTTCTTTCCCGCTTTCCAACACAAATGGTAAATCTGTTCCACAGCGGTAGCAAAGCCTGTAAATTGGGCCTTGTTACTTTGATACTTTCTGTTGAAAAAATCTGTAACTTAGCTCTTAGAGACTTTATCCGAGAGCACACAGCAGAATGAAGTTCAGGTTCTTAACTCACACGAGGTCTATTGTTCTTTGTGAATTCTGGCGAACAGATTCTTTTACTTTTTATATTTTTTATTTTACTTTAAGTTCTGGGATACTTGTGCTGAGCATGCAGGTTTGTTATATGGGTATGCGTGTGCCATGGTGGTTTGCTGCACCCATCAACCCATCATCCAGGTTTTATGACCCATGGGCATTAGGCATTTGTATTAATGCTTTTTCCTTCCCCTTCCTCTCCATGCCCTGACAGGCCACGGTAGGTGATGTTCCCCTCCCTGTGCCCGTGTGTTCTCATTGTTCAACTCCTACTTATGACTGAGACCATCAGTATTTGGTTTTCTGTTCCTGTGTTAGTTTGCTGAGAATGATGGCTTCCAGCTTCATCCACGTCCCTGCAAAGGACATGAACTCATCTTTTTTTGTGACTGCATAGTATTCTATGGTGTATATGTGCCACATTTTCTTTATCCAGTCTATCATTGATGGTCATTTGGGTTGGTTCCAGGTCTTTGCTATTGTAAATAGTGCTGCAATAAACATATGTGTGCATGTGTCTTTATAGTAGAATGATTTCTAATCCTTTGGGTATATACCCAATAATGGGATTGCTGGGTCAAATAATATTTCTGGTTCTAATGCTTGAGGAAGCACCACACTGTATTCCACAATGGTTGAACTAATTTACACTCCTACCAATAGTATAAAAGCATTCCTATTTCTCCACATCCTCTTCAGCATCTGTTGTCTCCTGATTTTTTAATGATCGCCATTCTAATTGGCATGAAATGGTATCTCATTGTGGTTTTGATTTGCATTTCTCTAATGACCAGTGATGATGAGCCTTTTTTCATATGTTTTTTGGCCCCATAAATGTCTTCTTTTGAGAAGTGTCTGTTCATATCCTTTGCCCACTTTTTGATGTGGTTGTTTGTTTTTTTCTTATAAATTTAAGTTCCTTGTAGATCTTGGATATTAGCCCTTTATCAGATGGATAGATTACAAAAATTGTCTCCCATTCTGTGGGTTGCCTGTTTACTCTGATGATAGTTTCTTTTGCTGTGCAGAAGCTCTTTAGTTTAATTAGATCCCACTTGTCAATTTTGGCTTTTGTTGTCATTGCTTTTTGTGTTTAGTCATGAAGTCTTTGCCCATACCTGCATCCTGAATGGTATTGCCTAGGTTTTCTTCTAGGGTTTTTATGGTTTTAGGTTTTACATTTAAGTCTTTAATCCATCCTAAGTTAATTTTTGTCGAAGCTGTAAGGAAGGGGTCCAGTTTCTGCTTTCTGCACACTGCTAGCCAGTTTTCCCAGCACCATTTATTAAGTAGGGATTCCTTTCCCCATTGCTTGTTTTTGCCAGGTTTGTCCAGGAGCAGATGGTTGGTGTTATTTCTGAGGTCTCTGTTCTGTTCCATTGGTCTGTGACTCTGTTTTGCTATCAGTACCATGCTGTTATTGTAGTACAGTTTGGAGTCAGGTAGCGTGATGCCTCCAGCTTTGACCTTTTTGCTTAAGATCGTCTTGGCTGTATGGGCCCTTTTTTGGTTCCATATGAAATTTAAAGTAGTTTTTTTCTAATTCTGTGAAGAAAGTCAATGGTAGCTTGATGGGAACAGCATTGGATCTATAGATTACTTTGGGCAGTAAGGCCATTTTCACAATATTGACCTATCCATGAGCATGAAATGTTTTCCCATTTGTTTGTATCCTCTCTTATTTCCTTGAGCAGTGGTTTGTAGTTCTCCTTGAAGAGGTCCTTCACACCCCTTGGAAGTTGTATTCCTAGGTATTTTATTCTCTTTGTAGCAATTGTGAATTGAAGTTCACTCACCATTTGGCTCTCTGCTTGTGTATTATTGGTGTATAGGAATGCTTATGATTTTTGCACATTGATTTTGTATCCTGAGACTTTGCTCAAGTTGCTTATTGGCTTAAGGAATTTTTGGGCTAAGCGAGTGGAGTTTTCCAAATATACAATCACGATCATCTGCAAACAGAGACAATTTGACTTCCTCTCTTCCTATTTTAATACCCTTTATTCTTTCTCTTGCATGACTGCCCTAGCAAACGGATTTCAAATGGCATGTTACACACTACCAAAACGTAACAACCTTAAAGTCTGTAAATATTACCTGAAAACCTGGTTTCTGCAGACTGCAGACTACACGTCTGGCACCAAATTTAGCTTCTTCTTCACTTGTTGCTCCAGTGCAAATAATTTTTTCTGAGGAAACTCCATGAAGCTCCCACCCCAACCCGTTGCTAGGAGCCCCCGAAGCTCCGGCTCTCTCTCCCCTGCTTTGTTGTCCTGGATGTGGGTTACAGCTCTTGACTCGTGAATTCTTGGGGATGAGGGTGGCTGTATCAGAGCTGGGTCTGCTTCCGCTCACCAGTATACCTCTGGGTCTACCACATGGGTCCCAAGTAGCCACTAATACTAATACTTGTGATTCACTAAAAACTTGCTGAATGAATGAACAGCCTTCACAAGTATGGTAGGTCCACGAATATGCAGACAACAAGGGTAGAGTCAGGCTCAACCCAAAGACGGGCTCTAAATCACTGAACACTCCTGTTGTGTGTTCCAGATATAGCTAGTCCTGGCGACCTTTCAGACCTTTGACATGTTTTGCTGCGTTGACAATAACTGAGAATACAAAGGACTGGCATTCTGCCCATTCCTGGGGCACTGGCATGTCATTGGTAGAATCTGCAATAAAGAAGTTATTAGAGAAACACAGCTGTTCATGATAAAACAATGGAACATAAAACTACCACTCTCTGCCTGTGAATGGTTCGTGTACAAATCGAGGTATCTTTGACAGAAAAGAAAACACTTAGTGCCATTTTAATTTATGATTTTCTCAATGAAAACTCCCCGGAATTATGACTGCAAAATTGCTGAAAATAAGTCAACTCAGTTCTTGACTTCTAATATATATTTTCACTAATTGTATATTAAATAGTAGAGAATTAGGAGCTCACAAGGAACTTCAGATCCCCCCACCCCGCACCCACTCCCACCCTCCACCACCTTTTTACAGATGAGGAGACAAGAAATAATGTACTCAGCTTCAGACAAGGCTTTGGAGGCACCGCTGGGGCAGCTAGTGCCCAGGTCTGTAGGCTCCTCCCTCCACAGCAGGATGGCCATAGGATTAACCTGTTTGCATCTTGTGATGTACCAAGAATGCACAGTGCATCCTGCAGCATCAACTCTGGCAGCTGACTAGCAAATGAAAGGTTAAGCATCTCAGAAAAGTATAAACTGTGCAAAAGGCGTAGAGTGTTGACTATTTGCTAGGGAAATGCAGTTTGCATATCCTGTGGAGTGTAAATTTGGTTATCTCAATCAGTTAGAAATTTTTCTTTTGGAAATGGATGAGGCAGATTCTTGTTTGATATCCAAGTAATTATGAAAATGATGGCTACCATTAGATGACCAGTCAAGTCAGGTTTATTGTAGGGCACATTTAGAAAAGACTTTCTTTTGTAAGAAACATATATTCATAAAACTATAATCCTACCTTTAGCTTTAAGTCTACATGAGAGTGGAGTGCCACTATGTTCACCACTTTGGAGCCAGAATGTCCTCACCTTTTTAACTTTGCAGCATAAACAGAGGAAAGCTGTTACTTCATACACAAGTAGCTCCATCAATGTGCTCACATTACAAGTTGGACTAATTTTAAGATTGAATCAACCAGTTCTTTGCTGAACTGACTCATGCAATTGCCTGTGTGTATAATCAAATTGCTTTTTCAATTCTATAAAAATGGAAATTTCATGTAAGCCTTAGGATCTTGCCACTTGCACACATTTTTCTTAATTGCATATTGATATTTGAATACATGTACGTTAGGCAGCTGAAGGATTCATGGAGAGTGCTAGAAGGCTAGGATAGTTATAGATACTGAGCAGTTACTGTGTACCAGGAACTTCGAAAGGTATTGCCTTGTTTCAATTCTCAGAACAACTATATAACCTAAGTATAATTACCCCGTATTATAGATGAACAAACGAAGGCTTAGGTGAAGTTAAGAGATTTGTCTAAGATTACAAAACTAGTAAAAGGTAAAGCCTGATTTTGAACCCAAGTGTGACGAGGTACTCAATACATTGAAGCACCTACTTTTTTTTAATGATACATCTTTTTTCAGTACAATGCAATCCTTTTTTTATAGTAGCATTGTAATTACTGCTGAAAAGTCTCCTTAAAGTGTCACTTTCTTCATCAGATATTTTCCCAAGGGAAAATAAATATGAATCTTCAGTGTAGACTTTGGAAAAGTATATTCAACGTAAGTATTAATTTTTTAAAATTGAACACAGGCTTCATTTCAGCAGGTGAAATTTTGCAGAAGATACAGTCTGCAAGGATTATAGGGTGTAAAGGGTTAAGGAAGGCTTTATAACATTGGATTGGACCTTCATAAATAAGTCTGTAGACCTGCAAACATGATCAACCAAAGTGGGCTGAGCCCCTGAAGTCTGGGTCCCACTGAGAAAGTTTTATGACTAGGGAATGGCCTATGACTGTGGCATCATAGATGGGGAGGAAAAAGGAGAAGGGCTTCCTCTCCACAGATCTCCATAAATGATCCTTTATGCTATTTGTAGTTTGCAGAAAATGATTGTCAGAGACTAATGTCTGGGCAGCAGAGATGGTCAGTGCTGCCATCTTGACGTCTATCCTGCTGATTCTACCCTGCTGAGTTCAAGCCCCGTCAAGGACTGGTGGAGCCTGGCCTAGCCGACCACCATGTTTGCGACAGCACCAAGAGCAGTCACCATGGAAATCCACTTTTCAGAACCAAGAGCTTCTGGAGCTGAAGAACAGGCACCCAGTGCAAGAGCTTTCTTTTCAAAGGCACACAAATGAAAATAACCCACCTACACAATCTTCTGCCCCCAGTGCCCACGCGTGGTTAGTTAGAGAGTAGGCCTCAGCCTTTGATATGCTGCAGGAAATTCATACTTTGAAGTGGAAAGGATGGGAGGAGGCAGGTGGAGGCATATCATGCTAATCATCATTCTGAGAATAACCACAGCACCCCACGTCAACCCGCCACCTGTCTAGTCACCAGTACTGGCCAAGTTCTATGGAAGAAACTACCAAAATTCATGATGCAAGAAACATGTGAGGGTGGAGAAGGTGACTGGGGCTTCCTCTCTGGATTTCTATTGTTCGGAAATCAATATTTATGCATAAAAAGTCTAGAAAGAGAAACACCAAATAACGATGTGATCACTAGTGATATGATTATGGGTGCTTTTTATTCCTTTTTATTTTTCTATATTTTACAAATTTTCTACAGGGAATGTCATACAAATATCCATGCTATACATGTATAATTTTCATACAGATTTAAAGAATACACCATTTTTGTACAGTCTTATGAGAAAACAACCATACTCAAAATTGTGCACACACATACAGTCTGATCTTGCCTTTGTAAACAAGAGAGATCCTCCAAAGGTTAACTAGGAGGTGGGAGTATAGCTGCTATTAGTGGTTGTCTTGATCTTGTTTTTGTGATTTACTTATTAATTTTTGGAGGGTTTTTTTTCTAACTTTTTGAAATGTGTTCTTTACTTTTCCATGCTTCCCAGTTTGCCCGTGTATCCTGATGGTATCCAGGCTTTATGAACTCCTGGGTAATCATGTAACTACATTAGCTTGTCAATCACCCATCCACTCATACCTGGGCTCTTACTCAATTCTCCAGGTTCCCCCACCTCCTCCAGAAAGCATTTCTGGAAAATACTCAGAAGGTATTATAGGCTCTAGACAGTAATTTGTACTCACCTGGGCTAGTCCCTGTGGCTCAAGCTCCACCACCACCACCACCACCCAAGTCAAACTCCACCTCAGTTGAAAAGTTGTTGCCTGCCACCATTACTGCCTGATCACAGGCAGCTGTGAACTCTGCACCTTGCCTCCTATGGCTGGAGCCTCCCATCTTCAGCCATGTCCTGCTGAGATACCTTACAGCTACTGTGAGGTGAAAAGGCATATTGCTTCCTCCTTTCTGGTACATACACACTTTTTGCCCCAACTTGTTACAGAGATTTATGAGCTTGCTTGTTCAGTGTAATCAAACCGAAGCTTAGCCAGAGCGCACACGCACTTTCGGTGGGTGAACTGGCACAGTGTCCAGGAAACGTCTGCTCTTCCTGGAACCACCCTCAGGCCTTGTGGCTGATCTCAGTTCCTCGTCTCTTCTTTCATGATTCTTTCCCACATTGGCTAGACATGCTCTCTTATTTCTGAATCATATGTGACTGGGTGCTTTCCTTGCAAAGGCTTTGCATCTTCCAAGTAAATTGGAGATGCAACTACATATGTACAGTTGGGGCATGCAGGGGCAAGGAAATGTGCCCAATTCCATGGCCAGTGATATCTCAACTCTGGTGGCCCCAGCTTCACCTCCCAGTACATATACTTTGGGCATATTTTTCTCTTGTAATTTCAAGGAGGAAGAAAGAAAATAAACATTTGTTTAAAAGTAAATGAATGATCTATGTCAGGGTGTGTGGAGGAAATTTATTAACTCAAGTTTGCACCATTTGAGGGACCTTGGTCAAATGTCCAGGGGTTACAGGGCTGAGACAGAACTCTGATTCTGACTGGGACCTCTCATAAACAGTTCAGATATTTTGATTTAAAATGAGATTGTCTTTCTATACGAAGGAGTTTATCATCATTCGATTTGACCCTTCCTTCAAGCTTTGCAGTCCTTTAGTTCAAATAACAGATTAAAATTGCCATTTTCCCATTTATTTCCCCGGGTAGAGTTAATTCAGCAGATTTTTTTTCAGGGAAATAACATCTCTTCAATCCCACTTGTTAAAAACAAAACAAAAGAGAAGAGAAGAAATGAACAAAACAAACAAACAAAATCCTTCTGGCTTTGTTTGGACCTTCTGTTTCTTATTCTTCTTGATTAAACAATTGTCAGCCAGAAGAGTTCTGGATGGTTGGGGTGTGTGTGTGTGTGTGTGTGTGTGTGTGTATGTTTATAACATCAAGCAAGGATTTGTTGATGAGGTGAGGAGTTTGTTGATAATGATCCGGCTATTGCCATTGTTTACTTTCAATCAGAAATGGAGAAAACCTTCAAAGAGTGTTTAAACTCTCTGCCAATAAATCCCTAGTTAGTGTGAACAGTTAATGAGACAGCATTCAGATTTCTAGCGGCAACACGGTCCAGAGTCTGCCTGCCAGAGGAGTGGAAATCAGATCAATTACTAGAATCTACTTAGCTAGCCGCAGCTCAGATCCACAAGCAGAATATGACCCCCTCCCAAATGATTTGGCTGGTTTTTATTTAGAATCTTGGAATTTAAACTGACTCCACTGCCAACCTTGTGTCTAGGTAGGCTTCCAGCTTCAGAATGGGATACACGCCATGGCAGAGCGGGAAGAGACCTCAGAATCACCATAGTGAACCAGCTCAAAACTAAGGAACAGGCACAGGAGAACAGAGGCAACTTACCAAGAAAGGCACAGCACAGCTGTCAGATCTTGACGAACACCTGGATCCTTTGCACCATATCCAGAAGCTTATTTTTACTCTTTTGTTTAAAGGGCAAAGGACAGCATGTTTACTCTTGTTTCAGGCAGGTCCTTACTCAACGCGCCAAAACTTCTCCAAGTCTGCCATCAGTTTCTGTTGTTTTAACTTCCAAATGCACAAAAATAAAAAGCACTTATGTGTAATATCGTGTGATATTCCATCTGTTCGCAGATGCAGGACAAGTACTCCAAAAGCGGCATTGCTTGTTTCTTAAAAGAAGATGGCAGCTCCTGGGACCCCAGTGACGAAGAGAGTATGAATAGCCCCTGCTGGGAAGTCAAGTGGCAACTCCGTCAGCTCGTTAGAAAGGTAGGTAACCTCACCAGGCAACCTCGCCAGCAGGCAGAAAAGGCCGGAAGAATTCCTTAAAGCGAAGGAATCTTTAAGATAATCAAGCCTAGACTCTTCATTTTACAAATAAGAAAACTTAGGCCCAGAGTGTTTAAGTAATTTTCCCCAAATTCATAGAACTAGGAAAACCGGGCATAGCACCAAAGGGCAGGGCGTGGCCGGCTCCTGGTCTAGAGTTCATGGGCCCCAGACAGCCTCCACATTTCGGCTAACCTTTTTATCTCACATTATGGAAACTGAGGCACAGACAGGGTAATGAACAGAAGGTCACAAAGTTGTAAAGGATGTGTGGGGTTTTTTTTTTGTTCAAAAGATAGAGGAGGCCAGATAGTGATTTATATTCTTCCCACGTTGCTGATGTCTGGGAATAAATATTTATTTTTGTGTGTATATTCAGATGAAGAAAGAGGAAAGTAAGAGGGAAGAAAGAGGAGGAAAAAGGGAAGGGAAGAAAGAGATACTATGAGAAATTGAAGGGTTTTTTTCTTAATTTATAGCCAATAAATAACAAATTACAAAAAGTATCTATTTGTGGATGTTGCTTAAACAGGACCTCTCTCAGAGACACGTTAGTCAACAGTTTATTTTGCTGAATGTGGCAGAGTCAGACCAACTCAAGTTTCTTCTCTTAAGCTCTTCCTTCTTTGTAAGATGACATTTAATGATATTTGCGGCTGGGCCTGGTGGCTCACACCTGTAATCCCAGCACTTTGGGAGGCCGAGGCAGGCGGATCACCCTGAGGTCAGGAGTTGAAGACCACCCTGGCAAACATGGCGAAACCCCGTCTCTGCTAAAAATACAAAAATTAGCCAAGCATGGTGGTGTGTGCCTGTAATCCCAGCTACCTGGGAGGCTGAGGCAGGAGAATCGCTTGAATCCGGGAGGTGGAGGTTGCAGTGAGATTGTGCCACTGCACTCCAGCCTGGGTGACAGAGCAAGACTCCATCTCAAAAGAAAAAAAACCGCTTCTGCCTATATAAAAATATCAGATGAGAACACAGCTGTAAAAATACTCTAGTGTAAACTATGAACTACACCATTGTTTAAAGCCATAACTGGGGGAATTCCCAGGGTACGAGGAGAATGTATTTTTACACATGTTTGTGAGTCCATTGTTTGGTGTTCAACATCTGTTTCTCCATAGAAATAGTGTTTTATTGGTGGTTAGGGATTGAGTTTATAATCCTGAGCTGTTTTCACAGTAGAGCCCCGACATCACGTAAGATGCTATTTCTATGGGAAATGAAACTAGACTTCCGCCTAGGAGTCCTAGAAACATACCTGCCCTAGAAGCATGGCCCCAGGCTGGGGTGCCCCTGCACACAAGCTGTACCGAAGCAGCTGTGATTCCACCACTCCAAATGACAGCGAGTGTTCAGGGTGCAAGGGCCAGGAGACTAGGAAAAGCCTGGACTGGAGAAGGGTTCTGAGGAAGCTGAGAAATGAAACTCCCGAGTCCCTGGGATAGGGGTTTGGGGAGTGGAGGTGAGTTGTCCAGCAGGGGAGAGCAATTCAGAGCAAGGGTGGAAAGCTGGAGACTCAGGAGAGGGCTGGGTGCCGTGGACAGAGAGGGGAGAGAAGAGAAGTAGTGGGAACATATCTCTTTCCTGCTATTCCTACCATTCTCCTTCCCATCTCACATCCTGCTACCAACTAGAATAGAGAGGAGGTGGGAGAGAACACAGAGAGAATAGATGAGAATGTGGGAAAAATAATTCTCTTTTGTTTTTTAAGGCACATTAGTTGAACAGACTTATTCCAGTAAATATCCTACGCCCATTTCATATGGTATCTCATTTAATCCTCACGACAGCTCTGAAGAATAAATTATTATTAGCCCCTTAAATCTATTTTTAAAAGGTTAATAAATTGAAGTTTAGACCAGTTAAATGACTTGAGCAGTCTCACAGAGCCAGTAATGAAAAGATTTGAATGCAGGGCCTCTGGCCACGCGTCTAGTCACTCTTTTTATTCGGACTCCCACATGGTAGGAAAGACCCTTTCCTTTTTGCTGCTTCTCCTTTTCTCCTTCCTTTCTGTTGCAGAATAAGAGGAAGAGGAAGTAAGAGTGGGAAAGAGAGACGCAGATAGAGAAATGAGAGACAGAGAGATAAGACAGGATGCTGTGGCTCCCTCTCACTTCTCCTTCTCTTACGTCAGTGCCCAGGGGACTGATTACAGTGAGTCCACCGCCACCCGCCTTTCCCCCATTATCTGGCATCAGGGCTTCAGGTAGAGAGAGAAGCAGAGAGCTTCTGCTTTGAGGTGGAAGTACAAAGAAGGCAAGTTTCTGACAGGTGCAACATTGACTGCAGAGATGGGGTAAGAGGGCAGTGATGGGAGACGGTGGCAGGAGGGACAGAGCTGATTTCAGAAGCCATGGATGAACCAAGTCAGGGTCTGCCCATTTAATAGAAAGGTTTGGTTTTCCCTCTTTCTTACTTGTTTTCCCCATTGGTTAGTACGAAGGCGGGGAGAGGTTACTAGATATTTAGCAAAGATACGGGATGGTGAGAAAATATCTTTATGCTGAGTGGCTCAGCCACATTCTCAGAATGACAGAATGACACAGTGTTGTCAGATCATACCTCCATAGGCTATGTACATCTTGAGGCTTGAGTCTGTTCAATAATTTTAAGCCCCTGGGCTCTGTTACCCAGTGCACTTACACACACATGCACGCACACATACATACACCCCCCCACGCTCAGTGACATGGCGTGGCTGCCACACCTAACAGCCACATTTGGCTGACCTCACAGGGCAGATGGCTTCTTCCTCCTGCACTGCTCCATGTGTGGGCTTTCCAAGACTTCATCCAGCAAAAGAACTTTCCCAGACAGAATACCATCCCCTGATTGCTGCGCAGGGACAGCTACCGCATTATTCATCCCAGCTCCCACCCCTCCCCTTACAGACCCTATGCCTGACCAAATTGAAAGCTTCCTAGATTGGTAATGCATGTAGAAATTCCCATTAGACATCAGCAAGAAGAGCCGCAGGATTCTATAGTTGGTTTAAATTTTTAGGGAAATTAACAAGCTTTATTCAATAATATTTGCAGATGATTTTGAGAACCTCTGAAGAAACCATTTCTACAGTTCAAGGTATTATCTTTTTTGTTGTTATTTTAATTTTCTACTGTCAACTTCATGACAGGTTGTGAATAGCTCTCCATTCTCGTCTCTGCTCTCATCCCCTCATCCATCCTCTGATCTGCTGCTCTGTATCTCAAGCCTCTTGTTGATTCTACTTCTCTCTTCACATAGGCAGCTAGGAAGCTCAGAACCAAATCTGTGGCTCACCTATGGTCAGAACTTTATTTCAGCTTAATCTTATTTTTCCCCATGAATTTTCCCTTCCCCCTTACTTCTTCACTTATTTGTTTCTACCTTCTAATGTGTTAGAAACAAGCCATCTTAAATCCTTTCTGGGAAATGGAGAGAAATAAATGAAGTTCTTTCAATTACCCTTCTTTGTTTTCAGGCCACCACTGGGCTCCAGTTCTTTCTTTACAAAGGTCTCCTGCTCCATCATCCCTTCCCCAACAATCTTTCTACCCACCCACGATCCTCCTCCTGTGGTCTCCATACTGCAGCACCCCCTTGCTTATGGATAGCAGGCTTCTCTCCCCCGACCTCTCCGTTCAGTACTATTGCCCAGGCTGGCTTCTCTAGCCTTCCATATGGAACTTCCTCATTCTCCACAGCTCATGTAATTGTCATCTCTTCAGATAGGGCTTCTCTGGACACCTATCTAAGTAAGTTCCCCGCACTCTGATATTTTTATCACACGTACCTTGTTCATTGCCTTCCAGAAATGAACAACAACAAATCTGCTCTTTTTTTCCAATGCAATAAACTTCCTCATCACTCGGCACCCCTATTTTCCTTTATTAAATATGTTTTCTTAAATATAAAGCACACAACCTGGGCCTTGGGTCAAAGCGTTCTTTCTTATCATTTCTCTGAAGGTGAAGCAGTAGTCAGAATGTTGAACACTCCACCTGTTCAGATGAGGCATACCAGATTAATGATCTCCAGCAGTAGATGCGTGCACTGTTTTCAGTGTTGGAAGAATAAAATACTTTTTTATTCATCCCAATAAGGTGAAACACTACCCTGTATACCAAAATATATCCATGATACCTCGATATACGTATTTGCAAGTTTCTTTACTGGGAGGTGCTTGCTATAACTAGTAGGAAATTTCCTCTTTTAAAAGTTTGCTTTTTAATCTAGCTTCTCCAACTCATATCCTTGAAACGACCTTAACAAGTCAGTTGCCCAGGCTGGAGTGCAGTGGTGCGATCATGGCTCACTGCAGCCTCAACTTCCTGGCCTCAAGGAATCCTCCCACCTCTGCTTCCCAAATAGTTGGACAATAGGCACAGCCCAACACATCTGGCTGATTTTTCTATTTCTTGTCAGACAAGGTTTCACTATGTTGCCCAGGGTGATCCCAAGCTCTTAGGCTAAGTGATCCACCCAACTCGGCCTCCAAATTGTCACTTTCGAAATCATATTTATTAATATTTTCCACAGAAGTCTATAAGTTCCTTGAGGACTTGGTTAGTGAAACCAGTGGTTAATATTTGTAGCCCTTTGGGGTGTAGTGCCTTACCCTAGCACTATCTGTTTGATAAAATAATATAATTTATCTTACAACCAGTGTAAGCACACTTGGGAAGTTTGAGCTGATATTTTAGAGAAAGACATTTGTTACATTTCTGTTTTTTAAGGCTACTCCAAAATACTTTGGATGGTGGTCAATAAATGTTATTTGTTTATTACAACTAGTCAATTTTCAACTTATATTCTCGAATATTCAATATCATGACCAGAATGTTAATTCCTATGATTATCATTTTTTTGAGTGGAAAATTCCCATTCTTTTTTTTTTCATTCTGACTGCAGGATGACTGTTGGGTGCCAGTTTGTAGCATCTAAGGGCAATTGTTAACATTGTTACTGCTTTATAATCTGCAATAGTTAGCATAGAGAAAGAAAAATTGAGATGACAAAAATTGGTACTACTCTATTTCTGTATGTAATTCAAGGTGGAAATTTGCCAATATGTGGTTATTTGCACACTTTAACTCACGAGGATTATTACAAGTCTACAGTTATTTTTTTTATTTATATTTTTGGAAAAGGGACGGAATCTTCACTTTGTTGTATTCTCTTTGCACTTTACCTCTGAGGCCCTGATAAATTATAATCCATATTACTGCTTATTATTCCTGTGTAAAGTACTTCTCAGGTTGATTATAGGCTGAAGGAGATTGATCATAATATCAAAATGTTATTTTTGTGAAAACTCATAGAACCAACTTTGGAAGCCCAGTATGCTTACAATAGCTGATTGACAACACCTATGAACAGCAATGTATTTGAGAACTAGTTTGACAAGTGTTGATCATTCTTTATCATTTCTCTTTCAGAAAAGCAACGAGGTATTTCTCCCCAAGTGAGAGAAAGAGGTCCTCAGAGAGTAGCAGCTCACATAACTGGGACCAGAGGAAGTAGCAACACGTTGCCTATTCCAAGTAAGAGAAACAACAAATAAGTGATTTAAAGAGAAACAATGGAAGGATTGTGTCAAGTCACTTATTTTTTAAAGAATTTTACCTGAAATGTTTATATGGCTATCTACAAAATGCTTAGTATTAATCAGATCTCAGAGTGACTGTTTTCAGATGCAAGATTATAGACAAAGAGTTCAATTACTACCATGACATAACTGGCCTCAGGAAAATTACAAAGTGGGAGAATTTTGTCTTTGCAGTTGCCAGGATCTCGTTTTTCTTTTTCCTTTTTTAGAGTAACTTTTTTCTCTCTTATGATTACTTTTTCAATTGCTTTGCTCTGCTCTTCTTGTTCACCATGAAACCTCCCTTCTCTTTAAAAGTTCTAAGTCATTTACTCTCACTATGGTGCTCCTAGTGGCATTTATATTAAGTCATAGGAGATTGCCAATATTTGACCATATTTTACTTACACAAATGTCAGTTTCATATATTTTAACCATATATGTTACATCTAATTTTTATCTAGGCAGAACACATGTTGGTATGGGGCTAGGTAATACTGTGCATGTGCATGGGTCTTTTTTTCTTTTTGAGATGGAGTTTCGCTTTTGTCACCGAGTCTGGAGTGCAGTGGCATGATCTTGGCTCACTACAACCTTCACCTCCCAGGTTCAAGCGATTCTTCTGCCTCGGCTACCCGAGTAGCTGGGATTACAAGCATGCACCACCATGCCCAGCTAATTTTTGTGACCACACCAGGCTGGTCTCGAATTCTTGACCTCAGGTGATCCACCCGCCTCGGTCTCCCAAAGTGCTGGGATTACAGGTGTGAGCCACCCTGGCCTCTGTGCATGGGTCTTACAGTGTAAATACCTCAGTTGGAATCGCAGCTCCTCTTCACCTGGATGCATGTTTTGAGCAAATTACTTAAACCAGTCAAGCTTCAGTTTCTTCATAGGCAAAGCTGAGATAATTCTTAACTCATAAAATGATGCAAAATGTCTGATCTATTGTGAGTACTCCAGAAATAGTCACGTGTATTTTTATGAGAGGCTTTGTCTAAAAATATTTCAGACATCAATTGATAAATTAAAAAGGTTGTCTGGGGGTTTTTGGTTGGTTGGTTTAGTTTCTTTTGGGTAGTTGCCTTCTTGACATTCTTCATGTTTTATAAATGATTGGCACGTTCTGCCTACAAGTGAGGGGATTATTATGATGTTACGTTCGCTACTCATCAACAAATATAATTGATTTATACTCTGGAAAAGCCGAATTTTGCACCAATCATGAAGACAGGCCAAAAGCGTAAAGGAAAATCATTTTGGAAGGCTCACTTTTCATTCAAAATCTTTGGGAGCAAAAGATTCAACGATCTGCGGATCTTTAAATCTAGGCTCCTCTGTCAACCTTATGTCTCTATTATTTTGGACTAGAGACGCCTTCTGCTTGGCTGTGCCTTTGAATTTGGAGAGCTGAGAAAGATCAAGGAGGGACCCAGAAAGTCCAAAAGGAATGGCAAGAACTTCTGAGATCTAGGCCTAAATAATAAATACATTTATTTTGGTTTCTTTCTGGATTGTCTACTTAAGTTCACAAGCACAAGCAGGGAGTGAGAGATTCAGGGCGGAAGTTCTGCCCAGGAGTAACCATTACTGTCGGAGTGGGCCATCCCCTGTGCTACCATTGTAAGTGTGACAAATGTGGCAGAAGCAGTTGACAGGGTATAAAAAGATAAGGGACTCCCAACAATTCCCAATGTCACAATGATACAGGAGCCTCCTGATTTCTATATGACTACAATTTATAATCCACATGAGATTGAAGAAGGAAGAAGTTTGATATTAGGTTGAAATCCCTGGCAATCCCAGCAAAAATATAGATTAGCCAAAGCTGCAAAGAAGCTCCTTGCTTTGCTACAAACTCCCTTCTGTTAACTCTGTTTCTCTCTAAATTTCCTACAGACTCCAAGAATGAAAAGGCTCTGGGCCGCAAAATAAACTCCTGGGAATCATCAAGGAGTGGACATTCTTTCCTGAGCAACTTGCACTTGAGGAATGGCGAGCTGGTCATCCATGAAAAAGGGCTGTATTACATCTATTGCCAAGTATACTTTCGATTTCAGGAGGAAATCCAAGAAAACAGAAAGAACGACAAACAAATGGTCCAGTATATTTACAAATACACAAGTTATCCTGACCCCATACTGCTGATGAAGAGTGCTAGAAATAATTGTTGGTCTAAAGATGCAGAATATGGACTCTATTCCATCTATCAAGGGGGAATATTTGAGCTTAAGGAAAACGACAGAATTTTTGTTTCTGTAACAAATGGGCAGTTGATAGACATGGACCATGAAGCCAGTTTTTTCGGGGCCTTTTTAGTTGGCTAACTGACCTGGGAAGAAAAAGCAATAATCTCAAAGTGACTTGCAGTTTTCAGGATGATATACCACAAATATATTCCAGCAAATCTAACCAAAAAAACAAACAGCAAAAAAAACCTCTACGCAATCTGAGTAGAGCAGCAACAACCAACAACACTCTATAACACACACTGTTCTGAAAGTGACTTACTTATCCCAAGAAAACGAAATTGCCAAAAGGTCTTTCACAGTTCTACCTCATATCAGCTTGCTAGCAAAAATCTAAAAGACTCAGCTTCCAAACATGAATGCAATGGTTAACATTTTTTGTCTTTATAATCTACTCTTTGCAAAGATTGCAGAAGAAAGAGCAAAATCCATGTTTTCTTTTTTTTTCTTTGTTTTTTTTTTTTTTTTTGAGATGGAGTCTTGCTCTTTCACCAGGATGGAGTGCAATGGTGTGATCTCGGCTCACTGCAACTTCCACCTCCTGAGTTCAAGCGATTCTCCTGTCTCAGCCTCCCAAGAAGCTGGGATGACAGGTGCGTGCCATCAGGCCCAGCTAATTTTTGCATTTTTAATAGACACGGGGTTTCACCATGTTGGCCAGGCTGGTCTCCATCTCTTGACCTCATGACCCACCCGACTGAGTCTTCTAAAGTGCTGGGGTTACAGTGTGAGCCACCGCGCCTGGCCAACGAGCCATGTCTTAAATAGTGTATCACAGTAGTAGCCTCCAGGTTTCCTTAAAGGACAACATTCCTCAGTCAAAAGAGAAAGCGTCACCGCTAAAAGATCACGGTCTTGGAGGCCGTCCACCATCAAGTTATGCAGTATGAATCGAGAGTCTATTATGCAAGATTTTGCAGGGTTATCTCTTGGGGATTTGGTGAAAATAAGAAAATTCTACTCAAACTACTAACACTGTGTTTAAAAAAGTAATTAAATGATGTTCAGTGGACAGGGAACTTGTTTTGAATGGTTTGTGATTTTTCACTACCAAAAGTCAGGCTGGTCAAAGGCACTGATGATATTTTTTGATAAAGGACTCTACAGTGAACAGTCGACTGATAAATCAGAGAATCTGGTTTCATGTGAACAGCAGCAGAAGAAATGGCAAAGTGAAAATGACAAACACAGGCAAAGCAGTAGAAAAGAGCCGGCTAACCATCCCTTACCACACCTCCGTGCGGTCGCGTCAGTACCTGCTATGCTGTATATCTGCACGTCTGCTTCAAGTTGCATCATTTATTTTGACCCCGCATGAAGAATGTTAGTTACTTTCATCTTCCAGAATCATGACGGAAAACATTTCATTTCACCATTTAAACTAACCGGCTGGAGAAAAGGAATTCATTGCGGCCTTTGTCTCATCTCCTCCCACTGCCGTTCCTAAACACACGGTAGTTTGTCTTCTCTGGTTATATGCTCAAACGTTCATTTAAATGTGTTCAGATCAAATAGATTATTTTTCAAAAAGTCTGATTGTCTGATTTAAATTTACAACATACTACAGACACCTGACACTTCTAACCCCACTTACTTTATTCCATAACACCAGTCAAGTTCTTACATACCAACAAATGGACTTGTTTTTCTGCTTTTGAAAGTCTCCTCTCACTAGGATGTAGTCATCCCCTGGTATCTGCAAGGAATTGGATCTAGAATCCCTGCCCAATACCAAGATCCATGTAGTCTCAAGTCTTTTATATAAAATGTTTTTGCATATAACCTATGCACATCTCCCCATACACTTTAAATAATCTCTAGATTATGTATAATACCTAATACGATGTAACCGCATTGTAAAAATTGTTATTTTGTATTTGTATTTTTATAGTTGCATTTACCTTTTAATTAATTTTTTCCCTCGCGGTTTTGATCCATAGTTGAATCTTTGGTTGTGAAATCTAAGGATAGGGAGGGCTGACTGTGTAAGCCTTCATATCAGGGAACATTGAATCTTGTTTACAACTCTGTCTCCAGTACTTAGAACATTCATTGGAGCATCTGGCTTCCACAAAACATACTTGTTAATATATTTTGTGCCCACACAAAATATATTTGTGAATAAATGAACACCTATCCATACAGAAAAATGAAGTATTCTCTATATTCTTCCCTATACCAAAATAATGTTGAAGAATTTTAAAAGTTCACACTGCCGATCTTTTTAACCAAGATTTAACTCAAATAAAATAACTATTTTTGATAACAATGCGAAAATTAAAAAAATAATTTTTTAACTAAAAAATTGTATATGTATGTTTTTTCAATAAAATTCTATATTACAGTATGTCTTCTATACTGTAGTGCTCACATTTAGTGTCTTTTTCATTTTAGTGCTCACTTGTTTTATAATATCAAGACTACTAAAAATGAGGGAAAAGACTTCTAATCTTCTTTCATAATATCTTTTATCTGACACATATTACAGAAGAAAGAAATTGCTCACTTTTAATTTAATATGATCAAATGTATCAGTCCTTTTATTTATGGCTAACACTTCTGTTCTGAGTTGAGTTTGGCTATGTCCTCAGGAAAGATATGTTGAAGTCTTACCAGTAAGACTTATTTGGAAATAGGGTCATTGTGAATGTAACTAGCTAAGATTAGGTCATAGTGGGAAAGGATGGGCTGTTAATACAATATGACTGATAATCTTTTTTTTTTTTTTTTTTTTTTTTGAGACAGAGTCTTGCTCTGTTGCCCAGGCTGGAGTGTAATGATGAGATCTTGGTTCACTGCAAACTCTGCCTCCTAGGTTCAAGCAATTCTCCTGCCTCAGCCTCCCAAGTAGGTAAGATTACAGGCACTTGCCACCATGCCTGGCTAATTTTTGTATTTTTAGCAGAGAAGTGTTTCACCAGGTTGGCCAGGCCAGTCTTAAACTCCTGACCTCAGGTGATCCACCTGCTTTGGCCTCCCAAAGTGCAGGGATTACATGTGTGAGCCACTGCACCCAGCCAACCGGTATTCTTGTAAGAAGAGGAAAATTTGGTTACAAAGACACACAGGGAGAGCACTAGTGCCTACAAACACAGAATGGGGTGATGCAGCTGGGAGCCAAAGGAATACCCAGGATTGACAGCCGTCATCAGGAGCTCAGAAGAAACAAGGAAATTGATATTGCACAGTCTCAGAGGACACATGGCCTTGCTGACACCTTGATTTCAGACTTCTGGGTGCCAGAATGTAAAGGAGTAAATGTCTGGTTTTGAAAGCCCCTGCTTTGTGGCATTTCGTTCCAGCAGTTGTAGGAATCTAATACAGCTTTTCATACTTTGTTCAAGAAATCTTTCGCACTATCATACAGTATCACCATGTATTTTTTCTAAAAAAACTTAAAGTTTGGCCTTCATGGTTTGATAATGTCATTCAATTATAATTTAATTTGGGTATGAGGTGAGATAGGAATCTAATTTTATCTTTCACCATATAAATAGCCGGTTGTCATCTCACGCCAGTTAGAATGGCGATCATTAAAAAATCTGGAGACAACAGATGCTGGAGAGGATGTGGAGAAAAAGGAACACTTTTACACTGTTGGTGGGAGTGTAAATTAGTCCAACCATTGTGGAAGACAGTGTGGCGATTCCTCAAGGCCTTAGAAATAGAAATTCCATTTGACCCAGCAATCCCATTACTGGGTATATATCCAAAAGACTATAAATCGTTCTACTATAAGGACACATGCACACGAATGTTCATTGCAGCACTGTTTACAATAGCAAAGACCTGGAATCAACCCAAATGCCCATTGATGATAGACTGGATTGGGAAAATGTGGCACATATACACCATGGAATATTATGCAGCAATCAGAAATGATGAGTTCGTGTCGTTTGTAGGGACATGGATGAATCTGGAGAACGTCATCCTCAGCAAACTGACACAAGAACAGAAAATGAAACACCGCATATTCTCACTCATAGGCGGGTGATGAAAAATGAGAACACATGGACACAGAGAGGGGAGTACTAAACACTGGGGTCTATTGGGGGGAAAAGGGGAGGGCCAGTGGGAGGGGGTGGTGGGGAGGGATAGCCTGGGGAGAAACGCCAAATGTGGATGAAGGGGTGAAAGCAAACAGAACACACTGCCATGTGTGTACTATGCAACTGTATTGCATGCTCTGCACATGTACCGCCAAACCTAAAATGCAATAAAAAAATAAGAAAAAAATAAAAATAAATAAATAAATAAATAGCCGGTTGTCCAACACTGTTTATTGATTAGTCCCTCATTTTCCCCGCTGATTTTAATGTTTCTTCTATCACACACCAAGCTCTCGTGGTTCTGTTTCTGTGGTTATTCTTCACCTATTGATCTAGTTGTCCATTCCTGCTCTTACGCCATGTTGTTTTGATTTAAAAAATTATGGTACGCCAGGCGTGGTGGCTCACGCCCGTAATCCCAGCACTTTGGGAGCCTCTGAGGTGGGCGGAGCATGAGGGCAGGAGTTCAAGACCAGACTGGCCAACATGGTGAAACCCGTCTCTCCTAAAAAATACAAAAATTAGCTGGGCATGGTGATTCATGCCTGAAATCCCAGCTACTTGGAAGGTGAAGCAGGAGAATTGCTTAACCAGGAGGCAGAGGTTGCAGTGAGCTGAGATCACACCACTGCACTCCAGCCTGGGCTACAGAGTGAGACTCTATCTCAAAAAAAAAAAATTGTGGTAAACCATACTTAATATGGAGTTAATTATTTTAATCCTTTTTGAATGTTCAATTGAGTGGCATTAAGTACCCTGACATTGTGCCACCATTACCACTCTTCATCTCCACAAAGTGTTCATGAGCCCAAAATGAAATGCTGTATATATTAATCAGTAACATCCCATTACCCCCTGGTAGCTACCATTCTCCTTAATTTGTCTACAAATTTAACTCTCTTAAGTATCTCATATATTATGCAATGTTTACCGTTTTGTGACTGGTTTATTTTACTTAGTATAATGTCTTCAAGGTTCTTCCATGTTGTAGCATATGCCAGAATTTCCTTCCTTTTGAAGGTTGAATAACGTTCTATTTAATGTGTATAAGACATTAGATTTATCCACTCATTGGTCAATCATATCATCCGGTTTTAACCACTGTCGCTTTACTATCAATCTTGATATCAGGGATGTATGTTCCCTTTCTTTAGTCTTGTGGTTCAGCAATGTGAGCTATTCTCAGCTTTTACTTTTTCCTGTGAATTTAAGAATCATCTGGAAGTTGTGTACATGCAGACGCACACACACACACACACACACGTGCAATCTTTCAGAGATTGTGATAGAATTGCATTAAATTGCTGGAGGTTGTATGTATTTAGTTACTTTTGACACCGTGAATGGGATCTATGTCTCTTAATGACATTTTAATGCAGCTGATGCAGGGAGTAGGCATGAACGTTGAGAAACAGTGCAACATAGTGGTTGAGAGCATTGTCTGAGGGTCCGGATTGATGGAGTTCAAATCTTAGTTCTGCCACTGACTTGAACAGATTAGTAAATTCTGTGTCTCAGCTTCCAACTCTGCAAAACGAGGTGGTTACAGTAGTCTTGTCATATGATTAATGTGAAGATTAACAGAGTTTACACTTAACATACTTAGCACAAAGTCTGGTACATAATAAACACAAACAAAATTTTTAATTATTGGCCAGTCACGGGGGCTCACACTTATAATCCCAGCACTTTGGGACGCCAAGGCAGGCAGATCACTTGAGGTCAGGAGTTTGAGACCAGCCAGGGCAACATGGCAAAACCCCATCTCTACAAAAAATACAAAAATTGGCCAGGCATCATGGCTCGGGCCTGTGTTCCTGTGACTCAAGAAGCTGAGGTGGGAGAATCATTTAAACCCAGGAGGTCAAAGCTGCAGTGAGCTGTGATCACATCACTCCACTCCAGCCAGGGCTACAGAGAGAGACCCTATCTCCAAAAAAAAAAATTTTAACCATTATTATTATATTGATCTGTACACATCCACCTTGCCGAACTCTCTTACTCAAAGCCTTATGAAGATATAAAGATCTTCAGTAAAGGGAAACACATAATAAAATATAATCAGAATTATTATACTTTTATTTACAAACTACATTTTCTACAATATCTAAAACACAGCTGCATAAAACAATTGTAAATCTATGTTAATGGGCACATATATAAAGATCTAACTTGGGACAATAATGTGGAGTTAGGGGCAAGGGATAGAGCTTTAAAGAAGTACAGGTTTTTTATGAAATTGAAGTCAAGTTGGTATCAATTCAAAATAGATTTCATAACTTTAGGATATCATATATAATCTTCATGGCAATCACAAAGAAAATACTTGTAGAATCTACAAGAAAGGAAATAAAATGGTAATAAAAATCTGTCACTATAAAAAGTCAACTAAACACAAGGGAAGGTGATAATGGAGGAAATGAGGGAACAAAGGAAGCTACAAGACACATAGAAAACAAATAACAAATGGCAAATCCTTCTTTATCCATAATTCTTTAAATATAAATGGATCAAATTCCTCAATAAAATGATATAGATAAATAAAAAGGCTGAAAACATTAATTTTAAAAACCGTGATCCCACTACATGCTGCCTATCAGGAACTCATGTTAGATCTAGGAACACACATAGGTCGGAATGGAAAAGATGGAAAAAGATATTATTGCAAATAGTAACCAAAAAGAAACTAGATTGGTCATACTAATCTCAGACAAAATAGAGTTTAAGTGTAAAACTGTTACAAGAGACAAGGGTTCATCTAGATGTGATTTGCAAAGAAATTGTGAAGATAGTCTAGAGAGTTCCTGAATATCCTATATGCAGTTTTCTCTATTGTTAATATTTTATGTTAGTATGATGCATTGGTCACAATTAATGAAGCAATATTGATACCCAATTATTAAGGAGAGTTGACCTGGGACAACTGAATTTGGTGAGGGGGAAGGGGTGTCCACTATTACTGAGATTTTAGTACATGGTTTTCCCCTGACAGTGCTAAGGAGGCTAGGAGGTCTGGACTAGGCAGAATTTGCCACAGCATGCAAAACTGCTATGGCCAGGGTGCTTCTCTAGATTTCTCCTCACTGGGTACACCCATCAAATGTAGGTTTGGTCTTTTCACGTAGTCTCATATTTCTTGGAGGCTTTGTTCATTCCTTTTCATTCTTTTTCTCTAATCTTGTCTTCATGCCTTATTTCAGTAAGGTGATCTTCAATCTCTGATATCCTTTCTCCCACTTGATCGATTTGGCTATTGATACTTGGGTGTGCTTCACAAAGTTCTCATGCTCTGTTTTTCAGCTCCATCAGGTCATTTATGTT